ACTTTTTTTGAAACTAAATTTTATTTTGAAAATTGAACAGAATTTTGACAGGAAAGAGGGAGAACAAGAAATATAAACTTTGAACCTTATTCAATACCAACTTTATAGCACTTCTTGCAACATAAGTACTTTAATTTTCAAACATTAACGTAGTACAAATTTTATTAAGTATTAAAAATAAAAATGAAAGAAAATGACACTATGTCAAGCAATTCAAAAAAAAAAAAAACAAAACATGGAACAAGGTTTACATTTAGAGAGAGGAAAAAAGGAACGGGAAAAACTTACTTCACAATATCTTACAATGGGATTGCAATATAAATTATTAAACTTGATTTGTTCATTTAATGCATTTTCCTTTTTCTAATCCTTTTATTAAATTATTATGGAACGCGTATATGTGTACTTGTTAATTATTTGAAACAAAACAAGTTGTTCTCAATTCTATATTAAGTGCCTGTTTGAATATATAGTCATTATTGGGCTCCACACAAGAGATAGAAATTCAAAATTGATGGCTTGATGTGATGAATAATAGTCATATTTTTCATTTTTATAGATGAAAAATGATAAACAAACGGAGACTAAATAACAAACAAATTTATAAGAAATAAATTATATTACACAATTGTATTTAAGCATTATTTTTATTTATAAAAATATTTCTTTTAACTTAAAGTAATATTCCCGTCTAAATAAAAATCTCGAAAAATATTTTAAGAAGTGAGAACGAAAGATAGTTAAATATCATGCAGTAATCATTTGAATGCAGTATAAGAGAAAAGGGTCAAATTAAAAATAAAAAAAAAATTAATTGTTTTTGGTTGACGGGTCAATTCTGAAAAATAAGCTTCAAGTGAGGTTTTTGTAATTTTTTAAAATGGGGTGTCAGTGTAATAGTTAGTTACCTCAGGAACTACTTCTGTAATTTGCTTAATGATTTATCATATAGATGTTCGAAATCTAACTTTTTCAAGGGATATGAAGAATTCATAGAGTTTCATTTCGTCATTTGATCTTCATATTTGTTGTTAACTTCACCTAAAGTAATGCCATAAAGACATTTTCTATTCTTTTCAAATTTTTCGGGAACTTGGTGACTGTTATTATTGTTGAAGAAAACACATTTTATATTCAGTGATCAAATACAAAAACCAGACCAGAGAAGCAACTCAACTCCACTCGCAAAAAATGTATACATGCATATTCACCTACATGAAAGTCAAACACGAGAGAATGTTCACTTCTAAAATTTTGTCAAGAGTGTGTGTGTGTGTGTGTGTGTATATATTCTTGTAACCTAATTAACATAAATGGAACTTTCAATAGCTACAGTTGCTGGAAAATGCACGAAGAACAATAAAAATAAAGCATCCGAAGCTCGGGAAAAACAACCTGGAAACATTAGTAATCAAAAAAGAACTCACTGATCCAACGGGAACGGATGATGGAATTTGGGGCACGATATTGTAAACCACTTCCAGTTTGCACTTTTGAATAGGATGTCCTTCCTCATTGAACTACAAAATAAACATGCCAATTCATGAATCAAAATCAGCTGCTTTAGCAATCCCGTTCACTTAGCTTATATTTCAAATAAAGAGTTCTTTAAAATATAAGTTCACCTTTTCTAATGCTTTCTGAAACAGTGCTTGAAGATATACTCTTGAAAAGACCAAGACCGGTTTTGTTAAAGAGTTCTTTAGTTTTAAAGTGAAGTTAAAACCGTGCAAAATGGTTTCTTCTTCTTCCATTTCTTTCTGATATACAGGAAAACTGTATGCGCAAATATTCTCAAACTGAAAGGCTAAATATGGGAAACAGGGCCAGCTTTAGATAAACACGCATGATTATTAACATAATGATATAATTACCAATCTTCTAACGTCTTCGATGGTTGCGCCAGAACTTGCTACTGCACTCTGAATCTGAAACTTGTCTTTACATTGCATGCTAGGAGGAGCCTCCTTCTGGCTTTGCATTGTTACTGCAAAACACGCAAACTCGAAACTAAAATA